GGGGTGATGCAGACCTCTACATGAGATGCCCCCTTCTCTCCCCAGGTTCGAGCTGAGCCCCAGGATGCGGGAGGCCTGTCTCATCGTCAAGACCCACCTAGGCCACCCTGGTGCCACCAAGAGCAAAGAGGTGGTGAGTGAGGGGCTGGGGTGGCTCACCCTGCCCCTGCCAGCACTCCCCCAGGGCTGACCCTCCCCAGAGAGGGGTCAGCAAAGCCTGGCTCAGCACCTTACCCCCCCAATACAGCCCTTTGCTCCAGGCTTTGTCCCAGATACCCCAAAACCTTTGTGGACTCAGCTCAGGCCATCCCAACATGGGTTTGGGGGGTTCAGGGTCCTGCCTTCACCCAGCCCCCTCTGGAGCAGGGATTCTGCTCCCCACAGGGCCACTGGTGTGGGGTGGGTGCAGGGTGGCCCACACAGAGGCTCTGGGGGAGCCCCAGCCCCAGCTCAGCCCCTCTGTGCCCACAGCTGGCCAGCAGCAGCCTGGTCCTGCAGGAGTGGTTCCGTCTGTCCAGCCAGAAGTCGTCCGTTCCCGACACTGTTGCCAACCACCTCCTGGCGTTCGCTGAGCTCTCCCCGGCCCTCCTGGCCCACGTGGTGAACCTGGCAGATGGGAACGGCAACACAGCCCTGCACTACAGCGTCTCCCACTCCAACTTCCACATCGTGCGGCTGCTGCTGGACACGGGTCAGTGCCCCCCAGCCCAGGCCACGTCCCACTTGGCCTGCCAGGCACGGGGGGAAGGTGCTGGGGCAGAGGAGCAGGGAAAACTGCCCGGAGCTGTGTCCATGCATAGGTAGAGGGGTGAGAGCCTGGATTTCCCACCAGCAGCTCTGTGCCCATGGGGCTGTGGGATGGCTCACAGCACCCAGGCAGGGCGGGAGTGAGGCACATGGCTTGGTCCATGTCTCCCACCAGCCCTCCAGCATCCTGAGCCCCCTCTGCCCACCCCTGCAGGGATCTGTAACGTGGACCACCAGAACAAGGCCGGGTACACCGCCCTCATGCTGGCAGCGCTGGCGGCTGTTGAGCAGGAGAACGACATGAACGTGGTCCGGAGGCTCTTCAGCATGGGCAACGTCAACGCCAAGGCCAGCCAGGTTGGCACGGGCTGGGGGCCACCACATCCCACCCCTCTGCCCACACCCCCACACAGCTGCCAGAGCCACGCTCGGCTCTTCCAGGGGCAGGACAGTGGCTCTAAAAGTTGGGGAGGGCATCACCTTAGGAGCTCCTCCTGGCTGGCACAGGGCTCTCGGCAGGGGCCCTGCAGGGCAGGGGGCACGAGCGGGCAGCACAGCAGGGGCAGGGCTGGCCTGGCAGTGTCCCTTCCCCGCAGGCTGGCCAGACGGCGCTGATGCTGGCTGTGAGCCACGGCCGGCAGGAGATGGTGGAGGCCCTGCTGGCCTGTGGGGCCGACGTGAACCTGCAGGACGAGGAGGGCTCCACGGCGCTGATGTGCGCCTGCGAGCACGGCCGTGTGGAGACCGTGAGGCTGCTGCTGGCCCAGCCCACCTGCAACGTCTCCATCGTGGACAGTGTAAGGCTCTGCCGCCGGGCCCGGGCAGCCCCACGCCACGTCCTGTCCCCACACCCCTTCCCATGTGCTCTCCCTTCCTCTTCAGGATGGTAACAACGCCGTGGCCATCGCACTGGAGGCCGGTCACAGCGACATCGCCGCGCTCCTCCATGCCCACCTCAATGGCACGAAGGCTCAGCTGCCCGTGAGTACCACACCACTGCCCCAGCTCCTGCCACGCCCCACACACAGCTGGGCAGGTCAACCCAGGCCCGTGGCACAGGTGAGGGTCTCCAGGAAGGGGCTGCAGGAGCAAGAGCAGAGCACTCCAGATGCCACAGGCTCAGAATAGCCCTGCTGGCCTGACCAGGAGTCACTGGAGGGGTCACTGGTGACATTTTGTGACTGCTCTCTCTGCAGCAGGGGGCACCACCGACAGCCACCAAGAGCCCTGGGAGTCCAAAGAAACCGAATTAGAGCGACCTTGGGATCCAGCCAGCGGCCACCACCAGCACTGGGCTGTGATTCATGTCCCCTCACGTGCCACCCCTCTGTGCCAAATTGCTCTCTGCAGCTTTAGTCCTGTCACTAGCACTGTCCCTGGGCCTCCCTCGCCCATCTCCACCCACACGTGGCCACCTTGCTGCACCAAATGACAGGAGCCAAGCATCATGACCTCGGGATGGGACATGCAGGGAGCAGAAGTCACCCCATGCCCTCTGCTCCCTGCCATGACCACTGGAGCCGCACTGCCTCCGAGCCCTCTGCGAGGAGGGAACAGCAGAGAACAAACCCAGCAGAAGCAGCCCCTGCTTTGTGCTCTCTGGCAGCCCCGAGAAGGCAGCAGTGCTGGTGACACAGAGCCAGGAGGGCGAGTGATGTCTCCTGACCCTGAGCAGGATCACAGTGCTGTGCAGGACGTTGGGACAGGGGACACCAGCTGGTCAACGCTGCCTTGGACGTGGGCTGGGAGCACTTCCAGACTGACATACTTGCTGCCCTTCTTTTCTGGCATTTCCTTTCCTGGATGAAATCTGTTTTTCTTTTTTTTTTCTAGCACATGCACACAAAGCAAAAAAATTATATTGCTTGGCCAAAGGATGGAGTTCCACATGAAATCACTCGGGATTTGATTTGTTCAATGGGAGTAAAACCTCTGAGCAGTTGGGGCTCAGCCAAGTGACAGAAGGGACTGAGGGCCAAGGATGTGTTTGGGGACTGAGCCTGCCCAGCTAATACCCCACACGGGGTTCTTCTCCCAAGGGAAAGAAAGCAATTGTCTCCTAAACATTTCCCTGTTTAACCAGTCCCACAGACTATACAAACAGCCAGAGCCCACAGCCCAGTCCCTCTCTGCCCACTTTCCCAAGAGGGAGCAGAGAGCTGAGGACAGTGTCAGGAAAAACAGATGGGCCAGAAGAGCTCAGAGCACACAGGTAGGGCCTGTGGAGGGGAACACGAATGTCAGAGAACATGTGTGTCTGTGCAAGTGTGTGAGTACCATGTGGGGTGGGAACAGGGTAAGGATAAGGACCGGGACGAGAAAGGGTTTTGCACAGGAAGGCAGCTCTGCTCTGAGCCCTTCACAAAGGTAACGTGTCACAGCCCCCATTCCTGCTCCTTGGCCCAGCCTCCCCCACTCCTGCCCCTGCCAGGCCTGCTCTGAGCTGGGAAATGTCTCCCCAAAAAACTGTAAACCTCCCCCCCCCCTCCCCCCCCGCAAAACTCCCTCTGGGCTCCACACTGCTGCCCTCTGTGTGGGCCCATCTCAGCTTTGCACTGGAGTTATACACAGCGCTCACTGCCACTCTAATACACTACTCTGTTTACTGCTATTTTAATACTGGTGTTTATTTTTAAGATATGAATAAAATTTAAAGTTATTTTGAAATATTACAGTGACCATCAGCAGTCTCCTGCCTCCTTGTCACGATAAAGCCCCCAAGAGCTGCAGTGGAGGCACAGCCCCCACTCTGAGCTGGTGCCCCCACATTCCAAGTCATTCCCTTCAAGTTTCTGCACTGACCACATCCCTCAGTGTGGTTTTCTTCCCCCAGAGCTGTCCCAGGCAGGTGCAGTGGTGCCTGCCTGTTTGACTCTGCAGGAACAAGCAGGACCAGCCACAGCCCCTCCCCACCCCTGGTTCCCTGTGGTGCTGCATCATTAAGGGCAACCACCAGACTGAGTGTGGGGATGCAAATCACCTCCCTCCTCACCTGGACAGGGACCAGGCTGACCCTACAGGGACACAGCTCTGAGCCATCCCCACTACAAAGTTTCCCTCTGGCTGCAACTCACAGCTGGTGGCTCCTGTCCCAGTCACCCAGCAGTCAGGGCTGGAAGGGCCAGAGCAAACGCTCTTGTGTCACTGCTGAGGCTGTAAGGGAACAAACACCAGCAAGAGATGTAAACTCTGAGGACTTCTGGCACTCAGGGCCAGTTCTGAACTCTGCTGCATCCCACAAACCAGAGCACAGCCTCGTGTGACGCTCTAAAACTGAACAGCATGAGCACATTGAAAAGGGCTTTCTCCAGGGCACAAAACTCACCTCAGGCTGCCCATGAGCTGCCCAGGGCACAACTAACACCTGTGGGAAAAATCCCACAAATACTCTCAAACAGCAGCCCTACAGCAATCATCACTGCCTGCTCCAGTTTAGCAATCTGCACACCTGTCCCAGCAGTGCTCTGCTCAGCTTTAGGACACCCAGACCCTCAGTCACACTGCCACTGAACTGCCTCAGTCAAGCTCAGGACACTGCAGGAGAAAGAACACTCACATCAGAGACCACAGTTCAGGGGCTGCAGACCTGACTTGGCTTAAACACACCACAAACCAGGACCAGTCTAAGCCAACAGAAAACACCAGTCCTTAAAAACCAGCCCTTGAGCCAGAATAGTTTTCAGGCTCATTCCTTAATTTTTCAGCCACACTTTTGCTTCATGTAATCTCCTGAAACAATACATCTTGCTAGTTGATCTTGTGGTGGAGGGGAAAGCTGAAGAAAGTGAGATAGAAGAGTCAGTAAATCCAAGGGGAGAGAGAAGCACTTGCTCTCTGCATGTGACTGACAGGGAGGACAGCAGGGAGGTATATTTATAGCAGCATTCAGAGAACAGCTTACTAGGGACAGACAGACAGAAGCAGCAGGCTGTTGCTTTGCAAGCTGGTACCAAGCTTGATTTCCAACTTGCGATTAAATTCCACTGAGATCACGTTAAGTTTCTGGTACCACTTCACTATTACACACAGAAAATCGCTTACCAGGAAGGTCAGGACTTAAGACTCCTGTAATCAAAACATGGTTATCTTTGTTGTGACACGTCAATAAAGATGCAATAACGCAGTCACATTACAAGGAGGGCATTATGTGTAACCCCAGCAACAAGCAGGGCGTGCTGCTGTCCCTGCTGAGCCCGAGGAAAGCCGCAGGTATGAGACAGAGCTCCCAGGCGCTCGCTGAGTGAGACCCGGGCACGGGACTATTGGAAAACCCCTTTATTGCAATGGCAACACCACCACGCTCCTCCCCACCCGCGAGGCTCCATCCCGACGGAGGATGCAGGGCCGGTCGCCAGGCTCCATCCCCCGACGGGCGGCCCCGGGACAGGCGCTCGGGCCGGTCCCGCTCAGCGCAGCCGCCGGGCCTCGCGCTCCGACTCCAGCAGGGTGAGAACGTCTCCCTCTCGCACCGGGCCCTTCACGTTGCGGATGATGGAGCGGCTCGTGTCGTCCATGAACTCAACGCGCACCTGCAGGGGCGGCACCGCGTCAGCCCGGCCGGGCCCGGCCCCCGCACCCTAACCCGGCCCGGCCCGCTCACCTGAGTGCACTGCCCCTGGGACCCGGTCCGGCCCAGCACCTTGGTGACCTGCGGGGACAGAGCGGAGGGTCAGCGCGGCCCCCCCAGCCCCCTCACACCCACCCTGGCCTCCCGCGGTCCCTCACAAACCCCCCCCGGCCCCCTCACTCCTACCCTGGCCCTTCTGCAGCCCCTCACACCCACTACGGCCCCCTCACTCCCACCCTGGCCCCCTGCAGCCCCTTACACCCACCCTGAGCCCCTCACACCCCCCCCGGTCCCCTCACACCCACCCTGGCCAGCTTGATGGGCTGCACGCGGCTCGTGTCCATGGCGGCTCCGGGGCGCGGAAAGGGGCGGAGCCTTCCCGCGCCCCTTTATATAGCGCCGAGTCTCGCGAGACCCGGCGCGCCCCGCGCGCGCTCCCGGCATCCCCCGCGGCGCTGCCCTTCAGGGCGGCCCAAGATGGCGACGGCGACGCGGATCATCCAGCGACTGCGGAACTTCCTGGCGGGGGTGAGGAGAGCGCCGGGCCGGGCGGGCTGAGACCGGCTCCTGCCCCTAACCCTGCCCTGGCCCCTCCCCCGCGGGGCGCTGGGCTGCGCCCCCGGCTCTGCGGGGCCCCCGGCGCAGCGCCCCGCCTGAGCCGCTCTGGCCTTGCCTTGCCTTGCAGCGGGACCTCCAGGCGAAGCTGCAGCTGCGCTACGGGGAGATCGCCAAGAGGTGCCGGGGCCGGGCCGGGCGGCGGGCGGGGCGCGGAGCGGGGCCGGGGCACCGCCGCTGATGCTCGCAATGCTCTCTGCCCAGGACGCAGCCGCCGCCGCGGCTCCCGGTGGGCCCCAGCCACAAGTTCGCCGATAACTATTACTGTAGCCGGGACGGGCGCCGCGAGTCGCTGCCGCCCGTGGTGGTGGTCGCGGCGCAGAAGACTCTGGCTGCAGGGGCACAGCCCGGCAGGTAGGTCTGGCCTGAGCGGTGCTGCCGCTGCTGAGGGGGGTCAACCCTCACTTACACCAGGAACGCGGTGAGGAGTTACCCAAGTTGGTAGGAGAACGTGGAACTGATTGTTTGTGTCGGTATCTGTGTGCAAATAAATGAAGTGGCAGGAAGTTCAATTACTGTGCTCTGGAGTACTTGTGTCCAGCTCTGGGGCATCCAAGAAAGATGTAGATATATTGGAGCAAGTCCCGAGGAGGCCACAATGATGCATCAAAGGCTGGAGCCCCTCTGCTCTGGAGCCAGGCTGGGACAGCTGGGGGGGCTCACATGGAGAAGAGAAGGTTCCAGGGAGACCTGAGAGCCCCTTGCAGGGCCTAAAGGGGCTCCAGGAGAGCTGGAGAGGGACTGGGGACAAGGGATGGAGGGACAGGACACAGGGAATGGCTTTCCAGTGCCAGAGGGCAGGGTGAGATGGGATATTGGGAAGGAATTGTTGGTTGTGAGAGTGCTGAGACCCTGGCACAGGTTGCCCAGAGCAGCTGTGGCTGCCCCATCCCTGGAAATGTTCAGGGCCAGGTTGGATGGGGCTTGGAGCACCCTGGACTAGTGGAAGGTGTCCCTGCCCATGGACATCATCAATGTCCCTTCCAACCCAAACCATTCTGGGACTGTGACTAACAGACTCCTCCAGGACTATTCCAGTCTGGACTGATTAAATCTGAGTGTGATTTCCATAGAGTTGCTACAGCCTCTCCTCTCTCTTCCTTGCTCTACCCCAGTTCAGGCTCTGCAGTGACAACAGCACAGAAAAAAGCAGTGACACCAGGACCACCACTTAAGAAGTGGGAGATTTCCAAGGACCAGCCTTATCTGTGAGCAGGAGTGAGCCAAGGCTGCGAGATGGGCTCAGGTGCTTCCAGAGCAGCTCCAGCAGGGAGGCTGTGGTGGATTTTTCTTCAGGAGTGCTGCAGGGAGCTGATACCTTATTAATAAATGTATTTAAAGCTGTGACTACACCCCCTTCCTTTTTTGTGTGTTCTCTTTGAGGTATTCAAGTTACTGATCTTTAATGTCCATGTAAGGTTTGACTGATGGAACAGCGACACAGCACAGGGGTTTGAGCACAGGCTCGGGGATTTGTGAGCTGCAGACGAGATGCCAGTGAAGGGCAGAGCTGAGTAAAGTACAGCCTTGCCCACAGGGCCCGCTGCTGCTCTGGTTGTGAAGGAAGAGACAACTTAAGCAGCCTGTGACACTCCCCCCGCAGTCCCTCGTCCTGCTGCAGCCACACGCTGCTCGGGTGCTTAGCGTGGGCCGGCCCCTCCCCGGGGACAGCGGGTCACGGTCCACCGCGCTGCTGATGGTTTTCCAGGGGAAAGCGCGGCTGTTCCCGGAGCTGGGAGGGGGCTCACCCGGGCAGAGGCAGCTCCGTGTGCCGCGCTGAGGCGGTGCCGGGACGGGCAGAGCCGGGACGGGCAGGGGGCAGTACCGGGACGGGCAGGGGGCAGAGCCGGGACGGGCAGTGCCGGGACGGGCAGGGGGCAGTACCGGGAGCGCTGCTTGGACCGGGCAGGGCCCGCCCCGGGCGTCCCTCCGGCCCCGATCACGTGACACCGCGCCAGAGCCCCGCCCCCCGAGCGCCCCGCCCCTCCGCCCGCCCCATTGGTTGGTGGCGGCCGGGCTCGAGCGCACGCGCTCGGCCTCTGCAGCGGCGGGAGCGGTCGCGGTGCAGATCCCCCTCGGTGCGGAGCCCCATCGGTGCGGGCCCGCGTGGCATGGCCGGGCCGGGGCTGGCCGAGCTGGCGCTGCTGCTCGCGGTGCTGCTGCCGCCGCCGGGGCTGCCGCTGCAGCCGGAGAAGGGTGAGTCGGGGGAGCGGCCGGCCGGGCGGCGCTCATTGGCTCCCCGCGCACGCCCTTGGCTCTCATTGGCCGGCGCCCCCGCGCGCGCTGTGCGGTGTGGGGGGTGTGCGGGGCTCCCCTCCCGCCCCCCCCATCCCCTCAGCCCCTCACGCCGCCCCCGCAGCTGCCCCGTCCCGCTGCCGCCCGGACCAGTTCCAGTGCGCGCCCGGCCAGCTCTGCTTCCCCCGGGACTGGATCTGCGACGGCCACCCCGACTGCCCGGACGAGGAGGACGAGCAGGACTGCGGGACCGCGACCCCGGCGGAGCCGAGTCCCGGCGGCCCCGCGGGGACCCTGCCCTGGAGCTCGGCGGGGCCGCCCGCCGGCAGCACAGGTACGGGGGGCGCGGGGCGGCACAGCGGACGGAAGCCTTGGTTCCCCGCCCTCTCCGGGGCAGCTGCGGGTCACTGTGGGTGGAGGAAGCGCTGCGAGGGACCCCCACCTTCAGCTTCCTCCGGCTGGGACGGCGCTGACGCCCCCCGGGGCTCCCTCGGGAAGCGCCTTTGTAGTACCTGCTTCCTTCTTCTTCGGAACACGCGATCCCCAGCAGCTCCCTCCTAACGAGCCGGGGCACTGGAGTCTGCCTGCCTCCCGAGCTCCTCTGTTCCCTGGAGAATGGGCAGGCTGAGGGGAAAAGGAAGAGGATGAGGATGAGGGAGGCACTTCTGGGCCGTCCGGTGTCGGGGCAGTGTCTGCACCCCCAGCACGGCCGGCGCCTGCTGCTCGGCTCCGTGGGGTGCCCTCTGTGCTTGGAAGTGCTGTTCTGGCTTCCCTTCCCCGGGGGTTTCCATGGTGTCTGGGAACTGCAGCACCATGAGCGTGGAGAGGATGGGGATTACTGCAGGTGTGGCAGACTGGGTTTGGGCTTGGTGCCTGCACCAGTTCCGTTGGCAGGTGGGGAGATGAGCTGTGTTTTGATCCTACCTGTGGCCTCCCAGTGTCTTGAGGACAGATCGAGATGCTGCAGCTCCAACTGGGAAATTTCCCGGCTCTCATTGTTAGCATTTCCAGTAGGACTTTTTTCCCCCAATGTGGGCTAATCACAGCAGTGACAGATAAAAGTTTTGCTTGAATTGAGAAAGACCTTTTAGCACTCTTGAGGTGAGCTGGGAACTCAGACAGGTGTGGGTTGGAGATTACTTTGAGTGCTGATTGTAAGGTGAGTTGGAAGCCTGATGGACTTGTCTCTCTTTCCTCACAGAGGCCTCAGCTACTCCCGAGCCTGGGGTCTCTGTGCCATCGAGGAGTCAAGGTTACATGTGGATCTTGATTGCTGCAGGTATGTGAGACTCAGGGTCTTGGTCCTGCCATGGGCTATAAATAGAGTATCTTGATGGAGTCAATTCCAGACCTGTATAAGTAGCTGCTTTTGCTGTGCTGGAAGGGGCTGAGAGAGGGCTGACACCGCAGCTTAATTATTGCTCTGCCTTGGATGTGCTGTGTCCTTGGAGAGGCCATGCCATGTGATCCAGCACTAACTCTTCTCTTCTCTGCCTACCCTTTGCCCTCAAGGGAAGCTGCTCATCTCTGGCTGTTGGCTTAGGGTGTTGGGCAGCAGGGCCCAGTCCTGATGCCCAGACCAGGGCAGTGAGTGGGTCTCTGCTTGTGCATTCTGCTCTCCAGGGCTCCTGAGCATCCTGGTAGCTGTGGGTTCTGTTGCTGTGTGGGGCCTGTTCAAAGCAAAAAGCCGATCTAACACCGTCAGTCTCGAAAAAGCATCCAGGGAACAGCTTATGCCTGACAAGAGCCAGACAGGCTCCTTTCCCTGAAGGGTAAGTGTCTTGCACCCATGTGCTGTGTGTGCCTGAGGAAGAAATGCCTTCTTTCCCCATGTTTCTGGCCTCTAGAGCTTTCCCCTCCAGGAGTAGCTTTTCCCAGCTTTCCCTGCTGCTGGCCAGCCAGGTGCTTGGGGTTTCAGTCTGCCCTGAAGCAGCAGAACTCTCCCCTTTTCTCCATTGCTAAGGACATGGAGCACCCATACTAAGCTGCTGATCTTCTGGTGTGGGTTTCTTTCTTCCACTTTGCACAGACTGAAGTCAAACCAGGTTTTTGGTCCAAGGGCTGTCAATAACCAGGTGTTTTTCTGTTTTGATAACAGGGATCTTTACACCAAGGTGACGAGGTGGGACTAGCCTGGTCTCTCATGCTCGCCACACAGCCTGACTGAATTGGATATCAGCTCTCAAACCTGGGTTGTTACACTGAATACCAAGAGAATGCTCCCCCTGGAAATAGGTCTTAGACTGTGGGACTACTATGGCTCTGGAAATAGTACAGGACCTTCCCTGGCACTGTGAAATCAGCCCTCACAAAGATGGTAGGAATGTCTTAATTGTTCCGAGCTCCAGTTGTTAATGCTGATTCCCACCAGTGTGGCCTTAGACCCAAAAATGTTTTTCTCTGTGAAATGCCAGGTGCTGTTCACTGTTGCCCTCCACTCACAGCCAAGAGCCTTTTTTCACCTGCTCCATTCTACTCCCTGGATTTTGTCAGGGAACAGGGCCTTCCTCACCTGTTTCCTTAGGGACTCACTGACTCTGCACAGACCAGACAAATATTCCGTGTTTGCACTTGTGTTTGATGCTGCTCAGGTCCACAGCAGGAGGCTTTTACTGACAGTTCCATCACGGGGTGACAGTTAAAATCTTCCAGTTTGCTGTCACTTTGCTGCGCTGTCACCTGGGGCAGTGTGGGGCAAGGAGCTCCTTGGCCCCCAGGCAGGCAGCTCCTCACACACTCCCTCACACAAACATCTCCACTTTTACAGACCTGCTCTGCCCACCCCGCTGCTGAACGCTGGCTGTGGCTCCTCTAACACTGTTAATGTGTCTTCCTTAAAACTGTTCTGACATGAGTGGTGCCTCTTGGGGGTCCGTACTGGGACCAGTGCTATTCCGTGTCTTCACTGGTGCTGTGCAGAGTGGGATCAAGCCCAGTCTGAGGATGAGGCCAGGCTGTGGGGGGTTGTAAGATAGATGGAGAGAGGTCTGTAGTGACAGGACAGGGGACAACGGTTACAAACTGACAGGCTGGGTTTAGGTAGGAGAAGAGGAAGGAGGGTCTGATGGTTAGGTTCCCAGGGCAGCTGTGGCTGCCCCATCCCTGGGGCCAAGTTAGACAGGGCTCTGAGCACCTTGGTCTGGTGGAGGTGTCCTTTGAAATAAGCCAGAAGTCTTGGGTCAGACACTCTGTGTTGCACATGGAGCTCCAGCCCAAGGGCTCAGTGCTGTGTGCCTTGGAACTGGCTGTGCAGGGCCAGATTAGTGCCTGGTGCCTGTGGGCCACGTGCACCTTGCACAAATGTTCCCTCTGCACAAAGCTGCTGCCTTGGCTGCTGACCTCTGTGCCTTGAAGGTGGGAACTCGTCTTGCCAAGCAGACGCCAGTCATCAGCCTTGGTGCAGGGATCTTCTGCTCCTGGAGAGCATGTGAGTGCTGCCATACCCCATGGGAGAGACTTCTAAATGTGGCGTGGAGTCCTGAGTTATTCCAGGGCTGCTATTTTTAGTAGCAAGGAGTCATTTGCAAGGGCACACAACCTTGCTTCTGTTTCCATAGGGATAGGGGGAAATAGCTGTGCTAACTGACACAGGAGAATAAAGAACGTGAAACTAATGACTTCTGGAGTCTTTCATTTTCCTGCATTTGTGCATTTGCTTAAATTCTGTAGTTGGGAGTTCAGGGGCTGCATCATGTTTGGACTGTCACATCCTGGGAAGGAGGATTCATGGTGGGTGGGCTGGAAGCAGGTGCTGCTGTGCCTGCCTGGGGTGGACGCGACTGCAGCACACACCAACTGTAGCAGAAAAGTGAAATACAGGGAGCAGAGTGAATGGAGAGGGTGGGGACAGGAGGAACAGCTGGCACTGGCAGTAGGAGTGCTGTTGCCAAGCAGGGGACAAGTGGGGAGCTCAGCCTAGAACAAGGTGAAAAAACTGCCCGAGCTTGTCCCTTCTTTGTCAGAGCAGTGCACGGAGTGGGGAGTCCTGTAGAGCGGGAGGGGCTCCAGGAGTGCCGGCAGGACAGGGCTGAGCTGGGGCTGTGGAAGTGCTGGTGCTGCTGGGGCCACGTGGCCAAAGTCAGCTGTTAGCAGCCAGTCCCAGATGGTCCTCTGAGCTCCACTGCCCCGCTGAGCCCCTGCTGAGCTGCTGCTCTGGTGTGGGGCAGAGCCCTCGCTCTGTTCAGTGAGGAGCGAGGCCTGGAGGCAAACTCACAAGACCTTGCAGGTTTAGCTTACTGCTCCCTGAGCCAAGTGCTTCAGGGTCGAAAGAAACATATTTTCTGGATCTTGTGCCAAAACCCGGGGCTGTGTTTTGTGACAGCCATTTCCCTTCCTCTGTCCGGTGCCAGAAGTATTTTTGTTGTCCTAATCCCAAGGCTCAAAAACTTCAATTGTAGTGGAGCCCGAGCTGGTTTTGGGCCAGGAGCAGCTTTGTGCTCCAGGTCTCTGTATTTAATTAACCAGTTCATAGAGATCAGTGTGATGTTTTACATGTTGAAGCAAGGTCAGGGTTCCAGGGTAAGGCCTCAAAGATAAACCTGTTTAATTTTGGTTCCCCTTTTACTTGGAAATCCAAAGGATTATTTCCTCCTTTTCAGTTACAATAGTTCAGGGGAATTTTTACTGCCTACTTGAGTTTTCAGTGTCCTGTTCCTGTCCCAGCTTGTGGGACTGGTGGGGCTGAAGGCTGATGTGATGGCACAGGGCAGGGCTGCAGGAGCAGCCTGTCCCTCAGGGGATCTACTCGGGCACTGTGTGGAGACTGAAGTGGTTCCTTCACCTCATCCCCTGTAAATCTGCACTGTGGGGCTTGAGGGATGAGCTGGGAGGTCACGACCATCTCCCTTTCTGGCTGTGACAGCTGACAGAGCCAACTGCATTAGTGCTTAATGAAGGGCTGGTGCCAAGAGCAGCATCTGGTGTGGGGGTACAAAGCCTCCACAAATCCTTCGTGTCTGCACCTTCCTGTCCTGCCAAGGGAGGGCTGGTGGGGTAAACCGAGGCAAGACCGTGCTCTTTCCAAATTGCTATCACAGGTGTCCTTCTGGGAAACAGGTAGCGTGTGGCAAATGCAAACAGCTAATAAGAACAGCATGAGGGGAAAGAGAAGTGCAGGTCTGGAAATAGTTCCTTGCATAAAGGACTAGTGCCTCAATCTCATTAGTGTCTTAAGGAGCGGGCTCTTGGCCGCCTCCGACTCCTGCGACGCAGAGCACAATCTGATCAGCAATCGGCTTTGGGACCCTGGCAGGTGCCCCGTGGCACCGGGACACGGCAGTGCCCCCCGGGCAGCCGCTCCGGCTCCTCTGAGCTCACAGCACTCATCCCAACCAGCGCCTGCCCAGCGGGAGCGTTCCCATGGAGCCGGAGCTGCCATCCCACGGCCCCTAACAGGAGTCACGGCTCCCGAGGGCCGGGCACCATGAGGCACCTGGGGACCAGGCGCGCGAGCCTCTCGGCCAGCCTGAAGATCGGGGATCACCGGGGCCGCCGGCGGACCCTGGAGGAGGAGGCACTGCACATCCCCTTCGCGCAGGACAGCCTGGTGAAGCAGTGGAGCTCCCTGCAGAGCGTGGCAGACGGGAACGAGGAGAGCGAGACCCCCGTCCAAAGGAACAAGTACCTGCTCAACATCAATGTGGGTGGCAAGTCGTTCCAGATAGCTTGCAAGGTGCTGGCCCAGTATCCCATCACAAGGCTTGGGAAGCTGGCCCTTTACACGGACCCTGCGAAGAAGCTGCAGCTCTGCGATGACTACTTGGTGCAGAAGAATGAGTACTTCTTTGACAGAGATCCTTTGGTTTTCCACTACATCTTCCACTTCTACCGCAGTGGGGTCCTGTGGGTGATGGATGAGATGTGCCCCAGTAACTTTGTGGAGGAAATCGAGTACTGGGGGATCCATCTGAAATACTCCCAACGCTGCTGCCGGATCCTGTTTGAGGAAAAGCAAGATGAACTCAATGAGTACCTGAAAATAGAGAAGGAGCTGGAGGCAGAACTGGAGCCCCTGGACTCGGGGGAGCAGTTTGATGGCAAGTTTCTGGGTGGGTTTCGGAAGATGATCTGGAACCTCGTTGAGAACCCGTTCTCTTCTGTCCCAGCCAAGATCATTGCTGTCATGTCGAGCTTCTTTGTGCTTATCTCCATCGTAGGCATGACACTGAGCACAGTGGACGAGATGAAGAACAAAACAGGGAAGATGTGGATGGAGCAGATGGAGATGATCTGTGCCATCTTCTTCACCTCCGAATACCTCATGCGGCTCATATCCTCCTCCAGCTTCAAGAATTTTCTGCGGGCAGCGTTTAATGCGATAGACCTGGTGGCCATCCTGCCTTTCTACATCCAGCTCCTCTTTGAAAACCTGGGCGAAGCAGACACCCTTTACCACGAGGAGCTGCACAAGGTGGAGAATGTCAGCAAGCTGGGCAAGGTGCTCAAGCTCATCAAGCTCATGAGGATCTTCCGCATCCTCAAGCTGGCGCGCCACTCCACCGGCCTGCGGGCCTTCAGCTTCACCATGCGCCAGTGCTACCAGCAGGTTTGCTGCCTCCTCCTCTTCATCGCCATGGGGGTCTTCACCTTCTCGGCTCTCATACACTCGGTGGAACACGATGTCCCCGGCACCGACTTCACCAGCATCCCGTGTGCGTGGTGGTGGGCAGCGGTAAGGCCTGCGCAGCCCTGTCCGGACAGAGGGGTGGGGTGTCTGTGGGTAGGGGCTGCCCTGCTGCTCGGGGCATTCACCACTGCTGCAGGCCAGGGGGCAGGAAGGGCCCAGCCTTCCTACCAGCCCAGCAGTGGTGGGAAACCCAGAGCCCAGCATGCTCTGAGAAAACAAATCAGAGGTTGGGACTGAGCTCAGAGGCTCAAAAGCTGGTGCTGGGGTGGGATGGTGGGACAGAGATGGTGGCCTGGGAACCTCCAGGCCCGAGTTAGTGACAAGGAGGATGTGACTCAGCCCAGGGGACTCAAGTGTTGGGTGGATGTGGTTTGGCTCCCATGGGTATGGGGACAGCCACCCAGGGCAGCTTGAGGCTTTGCAGAATCACAGCCCAGTTGGGCTTGGGAGGCACAAGGGGACCAGAGCTTGTGGGGCTGAGATGGGGGACCCAGGGCTGTGCCTCGGTCCATGTCTTGAGAGAGGACACAGACTGGGGTGTGTGCTGTTTGCTGTCTGTGTGCTGTTTGCTGCCCCTGTTTGCTGCCCTGCTTGTGCCAGGAGCCAGCAGGTCAGCTGAGCTGAGCGCTAGAATAGACCTGGGGTTGACTCTGAAATGGGAGTATCTCAAGCACTTAAAAGCCAGGGGTTACAAGGGTACTTTGATTTACAGAATAAGTGATCCCACAGATCAGTTCTGCCCCCTTGGCCACCACAGACTGCCTGCCTCAAACTCATCCCTCCTTAAGGAAGGGCAAAATCGCTCAGCAGCATCACCAGGTTCAGGCCTTTCAATGCCCCAGGTCGAGCACAGCTCCCTGCAAAGGCCAAACCTCTCTGCCTCAGCTCTCACCTTGACCCCATAGCCCTGCTCCCTGGCCACCAAACGTGGTGCATTTCTGGGCAGGGCCTGTTTCCCTCGGATGGAGGCTCCAGGAAGCTTTGTTCCTGTGGGACTGGGCAGTTCCTGAGCGGGAAGCACTGGAGCCGCAGCTCCGTGGGGGCAGGAAGCTGCAGCAGACACCGACTGCTGGGGAGGGCTCAGCTCAGGGTGTCCAGCTGGCTTGAGGAGACATGTGAAGTGGGGATGGAGCAGAGGTCTGACCTCTGCTCTCTGCTCTGGGACTCAACCAGCAGCACTCCACCCTGTGCTCTCCAGAGCCCTGCCCGTGGAGGCTGCTGGAGTGGGGACAGCTGAGCTGGCTGCTGTCCCTGTGTCATTCTGGTCCAGGTGACACCTGGCTCTTACAGAGGGGTGGATGGGTGAGTCCCATCACCATCTGGCGGGGTCTGCTGGGCTTGTTCCCTTGGGATTTTATCTTTTCCCATCCTCCCTCAGGTCAGCCTCTCCACTGTGGGCTACGGAGACACCGTGCCTGACACAGTGCTCGGCAGGATGGTGGCATTTCTCTGCATCTCCTTTGGCATCATCCTCAATGGCATGCCCATCTCCATCCTCTACAACAAGTTTTCTGACTACTATGCCAAGCTGAAGGCTCATGAGCTAAGCCAGTCACAGCAGCTCTCCAGGAAGATCCGCTTGAAGGAGCGAGTCATGCGGAAGCTGTCGGAGTGCTGGAGAGACGATCCCCGCTATCACCGCTGACCACAGGCCCCCCATCCCCGGACACCCCCTGCCCTCTGTCCTGACCAGCAGGTTGTGTCCTCCAGGGAGGATCTGACCCACGGGCAGTGAGTCCCAGCAGGGTCCAGGGCTGTGCTGTTGCTCAGGGACCGTCACAGCTGGGCCCCCCTCACTGCTGTGTGCCAGACCCGCTGCCCACAGAGCAGCTGTCCTGCCCAGGCAGGGTGTCTGTGTGTCTGTCTGCATGGGCTGACATGTGGGGCACCCTGGAATCACAGGGAGTGAGCAGTGGGATGTGTGGGGCTGGACTGTCACCTGTCTGAGGACGGTGGCCCGCTGTGACACCTGCACAGGTGCTGCTCTTCTCCCCTCCCAGCTGAGTGGAACATGCACAGGCTCCCCCTGCCCAGGCCCTGTGACTCCCTCCCAGCCCAGCAGATGAGCAGTCCAGGCCAAGCCCAGCTGGGAGATTTGAGTGAGGGTCTGCAGGAAAGGCTACAGCCATGCCCCCTTCCAGACAAACACTCTCCTTCCCTCTGCCCTGGAGCCTGGGGGCACAGTCCTTCCTCAGGACGCTGCTGTGATGGGACCTGTGGGCACTGTGGGGTACAGACCTTGTAGCCCAGGAAGAGGCATTTAATAAACCAGGTCCAAACCCTTCATTGTCGTGGATTCTTGGCCAGCCACTGTGTAAACTGCTCATCATTTGAGTGAGGAGGGGACATCTCCCCAGCGCTCTCCTGCCCAGCAGTGTGAGGACAGGGCTCTCAGGGATGCAGGTGAGCCTGTCCACACGTGGGGTTTGGGGTGAGCTGCCTGGGCCTGGGTGCATTGGAAGAGGACCTGAGGACAAGGGGGCTGTGCCAGTGAGTGCAAAAGGACCCCTGCCCTGTCTGCAAACACCTACACCCACTCCCCAAAACCCACATTGACACCCACCCTCTGTACACCTCCCCAGCACTGGCCTGACCCCACAGTGTTGGCCAGCTCTGGTTTCCACCCCATTGCAGGCTGGCTGATGGATCCTTAGATCATTCAGCTTCCAAGGAATAGGGTGCACCAACCTCCACCCCTTGCCCCTGGAGACTGGGCTGTGCCTGAATCTTCATCCCTCTGCCTGCAGCCCCTCCCCAGTGCCCCCCATCCCATGCCCATGGGGTGTCTGCTTGCCCATGGCCAGCCCCATCCCCAGCAGCAGTTCAGAGTCCACAGGCAGCCCTCAGAGAACAGCACTTTTAATAGTTCCTCTGAATTCATTTTACAAGTCACAGCAAAGTGGGAATGTACAGACATTTACAGGACACTGTACAGGCAGTTTCTGTCATATATTAGTGCTCTTGCTATTTACATATAGTACAGCCTGTGGGGGCCTCTGCACGGGCAGGGACACCCACACCCCCACGCAGGACACCCCAAAATGGAGCTGTTGCTCCAGGGCTGCCAAGTCATACAGGCTCATTCAGGTTGATTTAATCAGAGCTTGGCCCTGCGCCTTCCCGGGCACTGCCAGGGGGTGACACCACCAGGGGCAGAGCCAGCACCCCCTTGCTTTGCTTACCCAGGATTGTTTTAGAGGGTCTGTGGGAGCAAGGCCCCACACTGATGCTCTGGAGGGAGCAGGAGCAGCCTCTGCTGCAGCAGCATTTCCACCTCCCTGCTCCTCCCTCTCAGTGGCAGCCGCAGCTCCCGGCCACCATGTCGTCGTACTGCTTGAGCACCACGTTCTCGTCGTCGTCGAAGTAGAGGAGGTTGATGGAGTAGAGCTTGTCGGGCACACAGCAGGGGCTGCTGACGCCCTCGCTCAGCTTCAGGGCGTTGATGATGGACTGCACCGTGGCGTGGTTCGTGGGCCGCATGTTCTCCCCCAGTGGGAAGGGGCAGGAGCCCTTGCAGTGGAAGGCGTTGTACCCCCGGGGGGAGATGATCCAGCCGGACCAGCCGATCTCCTCGAAGTCCACGGACAAGGGATGCCTCTGGCAGGGCTGGAGCCGGTCCAGGGAGCGTGTGCTGCGTGACCCGGCTGGCCTTGGCACCGGCACCTTGGCTGGGAGACCGGGAGCCTGAGGCTTTAAATCTGCCAGAAAGGAGCATCCGATGCCATTAACCACTGCGTGAGCCTGGGAGAAGGGAGAAGGTGCTGCAGCCCCCCAAGCCCTCCCTCCCCGGGGGGTCTGCAGCCCTCTGGTCACAGCCAGTCACCAGCCCAGGCAGAGCCACCAGGAGGTGACAGGCTCAGTCTCGCAGCCACACCCAAATCCAGCTTCACATCTGCAAGCAGGCAGCACCCTGCGCAGGCTAAACCGGCACGGAGAGAGCCTCTGCCTCTGGCCGGGCAAAGAGCTTCGGATTTGAGGAGCCCACGCGTGGGCAGCACCCCAGGAAAGGGATGGTGGCACCGAGGGAGCTGTGCCAGGGCACAGGGGACCCACCTGGGAAGCCGCCCGTGGGCAGTGACGCTCCCCGGCGCCCGTCGTCTGTGAACAGCACCAACAGCGGCTTCTTGCTCTCGTGGTGGTCCCGGCCAGTTGCAAACTGCAGTGGGGGGGGGTCGAGCGGGCTCCCCCCCAGATCCTGCACTGTCACCAGCAAACCCTGGTTGCTGCTTTCGTCTTCAGTCCAGTCACGAACCTGGGGAACCAACCTGCTGTCACTGCAGGGCTGTGGGCTGGGACAGGCACCGTGCTGGTGTCCCCAGGGCAGGGGCCAGGCCAGGAGGGGGGTGTGAACTGGGACCCCCGAGGCCACACTTGGTGTGCCATGGGAAGGGGCTGCTCCAGGGCTGTGCCCAGGGGAGATTGTGGCAGGAACCAGCACTGGCACTCCCTGAGGAGCAGTAGGACCAGTTTGGGGCAGGATGGGGCAGCCCCCGGGGCTCTTGGCAGGACTCTTGCCTCCCCCTGCCAGAGGATGTATCCCTCCCATGTCTCTGCAGAGACGGCACCCAGGAAACTGCACTGGAGCCAAAAGGCTGCTGGGGGTGAAATGGGTTAAAAAATCTCCTGCATTTGAACCCCTGGGTTAAAAAATCTCCTGCGTGTGAACCCCTGGCATTCTCTCTGGGCTGCCCTAAGCAGGGGGAAAGCAACTCACAGCTGGTGTGATGGCAAAGACCTCCCAGCCCGAGGTCTGCAGTGAGACGAGCCGGGCTGCCAGCAGCTTCTTCCCTCCAGGGGTGTCTGGATTTTCCTTCTCCAGCACCTGGTAGACGCTGACCTGGGGAAGGAAAAAGGTCCTGCCTGAGGGGATGAACACGGACAGAGGTGTGAGCAGAGCTGGGGAATTGCCAGCGTGGATCTGTCACAGCCTTCAAGCGCCTTTGCTGATGTTTGCACGTACCAGAAGGACATTTAAGAACCCACCACGGTTAAATCGTTGTGATATTCTGTGAAACATTTGCTCGTACGATCGCAGGGCTGGGCTGTGCTCCCACTGCAGGCGAACGACCACAGTGTGCCTGTGGCATCCTCAGGACAGCCCCGTCCCCGCCCCATCCCCTCCTCACCTGGCAGAAGTGGTGCCTTTTGGGTCCATCAGTGACCCTCGGCCAGAGGCGGAAGAGGTGCAGCTCTGCCGTCAGGATCTTCTCGTTCTTGGCCACGCTGGAGAGGATGAACAGGAACCGCATCTCCTCGCTGTGAGCTGGAGGGAAGCATGAGCTGAGAAGGGGAGCGAAACCGGGGGCGGCACCTCCACCAGCCATGCTCAGCCCCTCCCTGCAGCCCCATCCCAGCACTGAGGGATCCCCCCACCCCTTACTTCTATCCAGGAAGCTGCGGACGGTGTTGCCCTCCAGGATGTCGGGGTTCTTGGTGACACCATCCGCGTTGGCGACAGTGTTGAATAGATCCACCATGTACTGGGGTGGCTTCTTGAAGTGAGCCGGGGGGGCCGGAGGGTCTTCCATGCCGAAGACTTCCAGCAGCCTTTTCAGTGCCTCAGCCCGCCGGCTCACCACGCCGGCCGGGCTCGGGTATGCCGGCTTGGCCAGGGCCAGCAGCAGCAGGACAGTCCCCAGCATGGCTCCGTGCTCCCTGTCCCAGCTCCACTCCCCCGGCCTCCTCGGCGCTGCATTTATAACTCCCTGGAAAGCTGGATTGGAGTGAAATATGCACAGGAGCAATCAGGAAGGTAAAGAGAGCTAATTGCCATGCTAACAAGGTGAGAAGCCGGGCTCCCGGGCCCCCTGCACCAATTAGCCCCAGTACACAAATGGGAGCGAGGGCGGCTCAGCAGCGCTCCCGGGGCTGGCAGGGGACACGGCGGGCTGGGGCCAGCAGCCCCCTGGCACAGCCCTGGCTGGGCTGCGTTTGCTCTCCGTAGGAGACTAACTGGATTTTAATGATGGCACTAATGGGACAAACAGGAGGACCCTCCGAGATGAGCATCCCCTTCCCATCCCGGCCCTGCCGCAGCAGCTCACACTGCTCGTGTCGCACTGGTGTCCCCATCCCATGTCCCTGTCAGGGGTGCAGGGTGGGGGTCCCCGCAGAGGCAGGCCAGGCTCTGTGCCCCCCCCGACAGCCCCGCAGAGCCCAGGGAGCCGAGGCCGAGGGGCAGAGCAGTTCCAGCAGAGCACCGACCCTGCCGCGGGCCAGGCAGTGCTGCAGCCTCGGGCTCTGGTCACCCCAGAGCTACCGAACCCTAACCCAGCCTGCTGGTTTGGTGGGGGGGTTTTTTTTGTGTGTGTGTTTTTTTGTTGTGTGGTTTTTGTTTTTGTTTTTTTGTT